ACATAAAACACACGGGTATTATTAGGTGTTATGTTTTACAAAATTATAATACAATACAAAAGAAAAATTACATTTAAAATGTTGATTTAAGAAAAAAACAATAACAACAACTTATCAGCAAAACAAATGAAATATATTGTTGATTCAAATAATCTAAAACTTATCCGTGATTTCATTGATTACAATTATTCTGAGCTACAATGTAAGATTTGGAATGATGATGATGATGATAATGATGATGATGATGATGATAGTTACAGGCCATATGATGATGAAAATTCTGGAAACATAAAACGGAAAAACGACAAAAATGATTCAGATGTAGAACTGAATCGCTCAGGTAAACAGTGTACAGTGAAAACAAAAAAAATCAAAGTTTACTGTTTTTCTCCTTTAAGTTTGTGTAGTCAGCTTTCAACATATCAGGCAAACAAAATTGGAAAATGTACTATAATCATATATATTGATACATCTTGGTCATCATCAGCTAACATGGCTGCCTATCCGTATGAAAATTTGTTACATAATATAAAAGTAATAAGATCATATTTAAAACATAAGCTTATACTTTTGAGTCCCTCTGAATCAACTGTTTCACTTGATATTACAGAGGAACCAACAAACAAGTCATCAAATGAATCTCTTTACACTGAACTCTTGTACCCATGGAATAATACGCTTCATTTGAAATTGATAAATAATAATGCAGTCAATAATGAAATGCTTTCATTGTATCTTTTGAGATTGCTTTTACACAACAATTTCCAAAATATGAAAAACAAGCAAGCAGGAGGTAAACAGCAGTATTCAGTTGCACAAGTGGCAACAATTAACTTGTATGGACCTTTTGATCGACATACTTTGCAATTGAAGAAACAAAAAGCAATAAGAGGCGACTGTAATGAAAAAAATGAAAACAATCGTTGTACATGTTTCAAGTTTGCTCAAATTGATTAAGCGTTAATTTTTTGTTTTTTATTACCATTCATACTACTTATTCCTCGGATATTTACACATTTTGTTACATAGGTATTATCATTTGATTCATCTTTATATGAGTAAGCCACACTACATTTATTGGCAATCTGTTTTATTTCAGCACCGGTCATTTGGGTTAAGGCAATTTTATCTCTGAAATTTACTAATTTCAATCGATCACTCCATTTCATTTGTCCAATATTTTTGAGATATTTTTGTTGTTGTTTCTTGCAACCTGTTTTTGTATTTGACAAAGATTTTTGCCTTCTATTTTCTTTGGAATTAGCATTATCTGCGCTATCTGAAATATCATAATCATAATCATCATCATCATTGTCATCATTATCATTATTATCATCACCAGCATTATCATCATCATCATCAAAAGCAGCAGCAGCAGCAGCAGCAGCAGAGTTATCATCAGCAATGGAATTCGTATAAATGTGATTTTGATGGCGCTCCAAATCAACATAATCACCATCATCATCATCATCATCATCATCATCATCATCATCATCATCAGCAGAAGCAGCAGTAACAGCAGCGGCTTTAGACTCACCGATAACAACACAAGCATTTGATGCTGTAAACGTACAGGTTACACCGAAAACATCGTACAATGCATTCATGTAAAGGGCAACTCTCCATGTACCATTTATCGTTGTATATATGAGTTGTGAAGTGAAACCAATATCAGCAATGTAAACCTCATACTCTTGTGAATCTTTTATGAAAATGTCTGAATTTCGTAAAGTTTTCCTGCTAGGTGGTAGGGTTGATGCTAGCACCTCAAGTCTCAGTTGATCTTCGTTATCTTTTGTTTTCATTTCTTCCCAAATTTGGCTGATATAGTCAATGTTCATGACACTGAAGCGGTTTTTCAATAGAGCATTTATTTTAGCCGGAGAAAGCGAACCTTTTGTCATATACTTCGTTTTGTATATCTGGAAAAATGGCATGTACCACCATTCTCGGTGTGTAGAGTTTTTACTTTTTATAGCCTCCTCAATTAGTACCATGTAAAGTTTGGGATCAAAGTTGAATGCTAGGCTGGCAAATGAATCAGATTTCAAAATATCAGCCAAATCGAGAAAAGTTTTCATAAGAATTGATTTGATTTTATCGTTGAGTTGTTGTTGTTGTTGCTGATGTTGTGCACCATGCTCATCACCCATCGTCAGTCCACCATCAATACCAGAACCAGGGTAAATACTTTCAAATTCAATTTTAGCAACACTTCCATTGTACCCTGGATTGGTAATAACTTGAGCTTTAAGCTGTTCCAAGATTGACTCTGCATTAAGGGATTCATTGCCAGCTTGTTTCACCATATATTGTATGAGTTTAACTTTAAATTTATCGGTTACCGAACGTTGAAGTGTATACAAACAGACAGCAAGTCTAGCAGGAAAACTTGAACAAGTTAGTAGCGACTTGTCAATAGATTCATAGCGTTGTTCAATGGTTGTTGCAATTGTTGATTTAGCAACCCTCTTGGTAATTTCAATTAGACAACAGAACAGCACTAGTTTTCGGTAAACATTTAAATCTGTTGTCTTTTCAACACTATTTGCAATTTGTTGAATATTTGCAACGTTCGAAGTTCCATTATTGTTTGAGGTTACTGTACACTGTAACAAGAGACGAGGATTTTTGGTTTTCACAATTTCATTATAAATTTCTTTTAAATTTATACTTTTTTCAGGCAACTCGAACTGTTTTTGTTTCGGTTTATGTTTTTGACCAGCTAGAAAAACATCGGTTGAAATCCCATTGTTATAACTTTGTTGTTTCTCAAATTCCATTTTTTGTTTGTGAGCTCAATACTCTACTATAATGTATATATATATAACATACAAGTTCAGCTATAATGCAAAATATTGGTTTATTATTACTAATACAGGGGATACTGATTACTGATGATAAACACAACGATGAAAAACTGCAACGGTCGTCGATCTGGTCTCACAAATGAGTCGTTTGTTGAGCAAATATCAAATGAATATTGTAACAATTTACAACTTAATGTATACACATCTAATATAAGTACAGAGCCAGTGGATTGTTTTTCAACAGATTTTGGCAATTTTATGCCAGTTTCCTATTCTTGTTTTGATTTGAAAATTTTCAATTTAGAGAATAGCGCAGGAATAATTGTTGATCGTAATCATTTGGAGGTTGCTTTTCAACAACATTTGGTTTCACTTGTCCTTATACAGAAAAATGTCCAAATTTTAAGAAATTATGGTACCCTGTTACCGCTCATGTGTGTCAATGTAAGAAGAGTTAATTTAACTGCTTGCCTGTTTGCTTACAGTTACGGAATACAAAATGAAAAACTAGCTCAAAAAGCTCTAAACTATTATATTGACAGAGATATAAGAGAGGTTGAAGCAATCAACTCATCAAGTAGTATCAGAGATAGGCGTGATAGTGATACGTGTACTGATACTGATGATGATGATGTTCCAGGTGAACAGGTAAGTAAATTGTTACACTTGTTACAATCGTCCGGTTACGAATCTTATTGGATGGATTTAGCTAGGATTTGTGGACTCAATGTTGATATTGCAAAAAATGAAAACGTAATCTACCGATACACGTTGAACAAGAAAGGATCAATCAGTACACCATCTACTTCTACTTTCATTTCTACTTCTACACCTTCAGCTATCTCTTCTTCTTCTTCTTCTTCTTCTGTTTCTTCTTCTCCTAACAGCATTGATACTGCTCTTGGTACTCTTAGCCTGGTATACGATGGTGATTCCTGGTATGGGCAAGTAACACGAGGCAAAATTTTTCAAGAATAGAAATTCACAGTATTACTTTGGTTTCTTTGTTTTACCTGCTTCTGATTTTCTCAGATTTGTACATTTTTTCTTTTTTTTTGCATTATAGAATCATCGTCATTGAACATATTTCGTTGGGATGTGACCAAGCAAAAATTAATGATTTCCTTACGTTACACTGAACTACAATCACCCATACTTGTTGGTGATGCTTTTTGTGTACCCAGAAAGGAGAATCCTTTCAGACCAATAGATATTGCCAGTTGTGATCATGATTACATTTTCATTCAAAGTAAACTGCTACGAGCCTCCGATGAAGGTGAATCCGCTCTCTATCAATGTACCAAATGTAAAGCTCAAAAAATTGAATAATAATGCTAAACTGACAAGCACATAATATTAATATTATCTCCATAACCTTGGATTATTACCTTGCTATTCTTGCTGATCCAACGGTACAACCTACTGTACAATGCAATTAAACTAAAATAAATTTACTAACTGACATAATCACTGAATGATATTTGCGGTTCAAACTTTTTTTATTTCATTGAAAGATGGTACTTTTGTTGTTATCGTTATCGTTTATTGTTAACTGTTACTCTCTGTTCATGTGTCTGTCGTCGTCGTCGTCGTCGTCGTCGTCGTCCTAATTGACGTTGTTGTTGTTGTTGTTGTTGTTGTTGTTTTTGTTGTTGTTGTTGTTTATATTGTTGTTGTTGTTTACGTTTTTCATCGATAAAACAATGGAATGAACATCGATCAATTGGACTAATAGTTAACATTTGCGGGATATCAGCGATTGATGTTAAATCAGAGTTAATGAAAGCAGCTAAATTATTTGTGTGTAAAGTAATTGGTGACGAAAATTTACAAATGAGTTGCGTAAGTGTACTATTGCCAGGTGAGACAGGTAAACGTACAAGTTGACCATGTTCACTGGGTTCACAAGTAGCCCTAAAAATAACTTCAAAACATGTACCGGAACATTTATACGATGCGTGTACAAAAGTGTACTCTCCTGTATGGAAAGATGTTACAATATCGTAATTTTGATTACAACCAACAATCAAATTGGTACCAGCACCAATACTGGAATAAAATATCCAAGTTACTATATTTTTATCGGAAACTTTTCGCTCCAACCAGTGTTTACAAGAGACATTAAACGGTGACTTTAATTGGGCTTTAAGATTTACAGGTATTGTTTTTCGCTTATATTTTGTTACTATTCTACTGGGTTTGGGCATTTGTAGCTCGCTTGTTTTTATGAGTCTCAATAAATCTTTCTATTTGATGTAAACTAAAATTAAACTTTTGTGCCAGATTTTGCCTACTATTCAATAAACTGTGACTTTGGGTTACATTGGTTGCTCTGTGTTGCTTCACTTCAACAAATATTTTTTTACCCTTGTATTGAGTATGTTCCTGTATTTTCTTTTTTTCTTTCTGTTGTTCTAATATTTGGTTTTCTTGTGTTGCTGGCTGTTGCTGTTCATGCTCTTGTCTATCATATGTGTAAATGCTAGCATCAAATGCTAACATTTGGTTGGCTAAGCAAAAATTCAGGGCATCCAGCAGTGTTAAATGCCTATGATTATTTAAACTTTGATGTGACTTTTTGTTGTTGTTGTTGTTGTTGTTGTTGCCATTATTGATATCATTGAAATAGTGTATGTAAACGTATGAATTTTTATACTCATCAAGTAACAGCGAGCCATTAAAATCGTAACATATTTTTCGTAATTTAATCTGCGGAGTAAGTGCTGTTACCAGATATCCAGGATTTGAGCAACCAGCGTTAATCAGGTCACCAGAATTGTTTGAACTTATCATATAAATTGATCCATGGATCGCGTATATTAGCCAATTAAGGGTTGGAAATAAAATCAATCTATCACAAATGTTATCTGTTGACTTGTCATACATTGTTATAAAGCCATTGTTGTATCCGGTACTCGTTATATGATTTGCTATGTTCCTGTTTACTCGTAGTAAAATGTAAGAAACATACAATATTAATATCACCAGTGATAGAATAATCATTTTGTTTCCAATTGTTACTTCATTACTTTTACTATTTTCTCACATACAAAACTTCACACGTATCAATCATTTCTGGTTTTTCATTGTTTGTTTTATCAACAATCGGTTAGACAAGAAAAAACTACGCAAAATGTACAGCACTGCTACTACTTCTACTTCTATTACTCCCACTACTCCTACTACTACTAATCAGAACAGTTTACCGACAGATACAAATCAAGAAATAGCAGCTCTCGAGATGCAATTTATTGAAAAGTTTGCACTTGAACCTTATCCGCAAAATGATTATTTTATTCCATTATCACCAAAAGATACAGTTTTCAATTCACGAGCACTTGGTGGAAAAAATTATGTACACAGATATGGTCACTGTGAACCTATTGATTGTCGTACAGATTTTGATATGTTTTCACAACTTGGGACAACATTAACGGTTAACAATGAACTAACCTATTTACGGTATGCTTCCTGGGATATTGACTGTCCTTGTAAAAACAGTATAAAACCATTTTCACCACGTTTAACATTATCAACATCAACAACAACCGTGCTGCCAACATGTAAAGAACCAAGCGTCATCTCAAGATCTGCTTTGATTCATCAATCATCTGATGATGCCTCTAACACGGGTGATCAACCAATACCAACCCCATACATTGGTTACCATGTTAACGAAGTTCATGTAACTTCTTTCGTTGCAAAACTTAAAACAATATTTTCAAACAATCATAACATGGATAACGTTGAATGTATCATTCACGCTAAAGACTGCGGATTCCATGTTTACACAAATATACCGATGACTCTTAACTTTCAATGTTATCTAACAGGTAAAATATTGAAAGCACACTTTGGTCATACATTTATCATTGAAATACCATCACTTATGCCGGTACCCTTTTCAGCAAAAATACCTGGTCAATGCTACAAACCTTTATATTATTTGACAACAACAACAACAACAACAACAACAAGTACAGTAACAGAAGGTGCAACACTGTCGGGTGGGAGAAAAATTTACATTACTTATTGTGGTATAAAATTTTTGGATAATTTTATCTATACGAAAAAGACTCTTGATACCGATGATGGTAGTTTTGATGCTGGTGATTTTCCTGGATACGAGAGTTTAATTCGAGAGCAGACTCAATTGTCTACTCCAGCACCTAACAATGCTCTACGGTTAGGTTCTATATCTCATCATCATCACCAACAGCATCATCGTCCACAACAACAACAACAACAACAACAACAACAATCTTTTTTGATTTCACCATCATCATACTTATCATCCTCGACATCAACATCAGCAATGGAAGATCAAAACAACACGGCAACAATATCAGGATACTCGAGAGATAAAAGAAGAATAGGTACATTAATTGGTGTTAATAAACTATTCATTTATGAAGCTCGTTCTGCATTCTGGAAAGGAAATGAAGAAACATCCATTTACCAAGAAATTGGTTCAAAAGTTAAACTATCAGATAGGATTGGGAATGAAAATTCTTCAATTTACACACTATACATAAATTATACTAAAATTGCACTTGTATCAAATAATCTGCTAACGCAAAGTGATCTACCACACTTTCTTTGTGACCATGATGATGATGATGATATCAGAGGTAACAGTGACCAGGAGGAGTGGAAGAGAACCATGTTGTTGCCATCGGTTAGTGGTGAT